CCTCATGCATCACCTTCTGGACCACCTCCTTGGAGGACTGACCCTCCTTCCCCTGCACCACCAAGGACCACGTCTCAACAGGCTTGGCCGCAACCGGAGCAGGCACCAGCGGTGAAGGCATCGGGGGTGCCAGCGCCGACACAGGCCCTGCCTGGTGATTCGCAACCACCGGTGCAGGGGCTCCACCATTTTTGGCAATCAACTGACCGCGAAGATGGGCATTCTCGACCAACGCCGTCATAAGGAGCTCCTCGTATTCCGAGCAACACTCCATCAGCCTCTTCGCAGCCTCCATATTTGCCCCCTCCATACCAAAGATGACACCACTAATTTTAGCGGTGATCACCTTAAGATCTTTTACCGTGGGCATGGGAACAGTTCCCACATCCACCTTCTTCGTTACCACCAACTTCTTCCCAAACAGGGCATTCCCCCCAAGTCCACTGACTGCACTGACCTTCTTAAGACTTCCAGTACTAACTTTACTACCCTTGGTAGCGTTAGAACTACCCCCATCACTGCCCCCAACAATTTCTTCCGCACTACTCTTTAAATTACCCCCAGCACTTACCCCAACAACTCGCTGCCTCGAACGAGGCGGCGACTTCATTTCTGGAGGAACATCCTCACCTCCCGACGTGGTATCCTCAAACACCGTCGACCTGGTAGATCCTCCCGTACTACCAAGGCGCCTTCGGCCCCTTCGGGCACCCACCGGCTTCGGCTTCATCGGACTCCCTTGCTCCGTACTTCCAAGCGAGTGAAACAGCAGAACAGACACGCGCGAAAACCAGAACACTACCAACAGAAGCTACTCAGAGCCGTTCCAAAGCTAACGCGGTGGCGCAGCCCACACAACTATGCGCCAAGCAACTATGTACTTGGCAGTGGTCACCAACGAAGCCTTACCGGACAGAACACTGTTCCCCTAGCAAGGACTGATCGACCGGTGTGGAAAAACTGACACCGGACACGAGCTCTAAGCAAAAAACGCAACTTTAGCAGCACAAAAAAACTCCTGGGTAGACGCAGCGATCTGCCTACCACAGCACAAACCCAAAAACACGGCACTCAAGAGTCCAACAACACGCTAAAAGTACCTTAAAAGGCCTTAAAACGCCTCAAAATGGCCACAGGAGCTAAATAAGAGCAACTGGTCCCCAACTGGTCCGAAAGTAACTAGTTTCGGAACTAGTCCCAAACTGGTTCCCAACTGGTCCCCAACTGGTTATCAACTGGTCCCAAGAACTAGTTACCAACTGGCCCCAAAGTGGTTACCAACTGGTCCACCTATACTCCAAGTGGTCCACA